AATAGACGGTGGTGATGAAATACACCCAAGACTCTCATGTATGTCTAAGTTCTGTTTTTTGTTCAGTTTTTTATCGCAATTTGCAGAAAAAACGACACCAATTTGAAAACAAAATGTTTTTTTTTAAGACAGTGGTCGGAACATTTTATCCTACTTGCATATTAACCGGCTATCATCGATGAAAATGAAAACTGAAAGAAAAAACAAACACTTTTTCCAATTACTCGAGTAATAACTAACAATCTCCTGATGATGAGAACATTGCAGATTCAAAAACAATGTAGTCTGACTTTTAAAAAATAAAAAATTTCTCAAAAAAACTTTTTTCCGAAATCTTACGTTCATGATACTAGATTATTCTAGAATTTTCTTGAAGGACACCTTGAAATGTATATAAGCAACCTATGTATTCTTCTCATCATTTCCTCTTGTTTCGCAGTTCCTTTCTGTCAGTAAAACTCTCAAGCTGGTATTGATTAGATCGTCACAATTGTGTTAATTCATGGAAGAAATGGTGAGTGTTAAAATGGCAGTTTTCTGTTTTTATCGTTTCATTAAACCGCTGAGAAAAATGATCCGTCAGAAATATTTAACAAATATTTCCGATATTATTACACTCTATCACATCCTGATGTTTTTTATCTTCATAAATTGCTACAAGCAGTTTTGGTTTCTGGAAGACCGTAGAGTGACAAAGAAGAATTCATTTATTTCCATAAAACAAATTGTGTCTGAAAAATTTTGATTAAAAATGATCGATTGCGTTAAAATCACAGAAATCAAAGCTGAATAATTAACTCCTGTTTCATGAACAGTTTCGTTGCGAACTTTCTCAACTACTGATATCAATTGAGTTTTGTTCCTGAATTTTCACGAAAGATGATTTTTAGGGAAAAGTTTTAAGCAAATGTTTTAATGTTTAATAGATGTGTTGTAGCTTCAGTTTATTTTTAACCAGTTAAAAGCATAAAAAAAACATTGTTTTTTCTACTATTGATCCGATCAATCATTTTTTGAAAATAGCAAAAAATATATTAGTGGTTAAACAACAATTCATTTAAAAAAATGAACTAGCACTTTTCAAAAGCAAATTTTTTTTTAATTTCACCAAATCTAAAAAACGTCTACATTTTCACATCTTAACTTGTATTTGTTTCAGAAGATGGAGTTTGGCTGCAGCTTCTGCCCGAAACGCTACGCAAAGAAACAGAAATTGAATGATCACCTGATGAAAACATCAAGTCAATGGCAGGAAAACTCGGACTGCTAATTATGATTGTGGAATTTGCTCTTCAAGTTTCAATCAATGTTCGAGTGTTTTTCGTCATGTTAGAGACATTCACAAGTGCGTTTCTCCGCTTAAATGTGTTTACTGCCCCAGAGTGTTTGGATGTCGAGACACATTGACACAACATGTTGACGTTAATCACAACCTCATTCAGAAAGAATAAAATAGACGGTGGTGATGAAATACAATTCGTAACTCAGCAGCATGCACCAAAAAAGTTTTTTCAGTCCTATCGAATAGATATTCGTCACCAACTGGACCTGACAGCTGTCATGGAATGTTTTAGAAGCAAGATTCAGTAGTTTTTGAAGAAAAAGTTTGCTGAACACGGGGCAATCAAAGTACAGTTTTCAATTTTTACTTCATTGATAAAACCGGTTGATGAAACGAAGGTAACATGCCATGCAAGCAGCAATTCACGACCCGTTTTTATTGACTTGAGGAACGCTGACTTTTTTGAAATGGTTGACCAAATGGTCAGCACTTTGCAAGTGTTCTGTAATAGTTGCAGTGGATTTGTTATTGAACCACTTGAGCATTTGGATGTCAATATTAATAAATTCAAACCAATCAAGGGAAGCACTTACCTTCCAACAACTGCACTGTTTGAAAATAACCATTTTCTTTTAAATATTCACAACAAGGACCAGAAGTGTTTTGCTTACTCAATTTTAGCAGCCTTGAATCCCCTTAAAACTCATAATAAACAAAATCCGAGCCCCTACAAAAAATGCTGGACCAGCTTGATCTTGACAAGGTCAACTTCCCGATGCCTTTGAAGGGTATACTCCTTTTCGAAGGCAATAATAGTCTTGCAATAAATGTCTTTGGCTACGAGCAGAACCAAATAGTTCCGCTTTTCTTTTCAAAGAGAAATGTCAAAAGAATCAATCTTCTGCTAATCAGCAATGGAATCCAATTTCATTATTGCTTAATTACTAACTTCAATGCTTTTATGACTCGACAATATAAAACCAGCAGTAATAGAACTAAATTTTGCGAGCGATGTCTTCATGGATTCTCTTCCGAAAAAATTCTAAACGAACATTTAAAACTTTGTGGAGAGCATGATGCAGTATCAATTAAAATGCCACCAGAGGGTTCAACGATTACCTTTCAACATTGGTTCAAGTCTGCATTGTGTCCATTTGCAATTTATGCTGATACAGAGGCCCTGTGCAGGAAACACATAACGTGTAAAATAGATCTATCTAGAGTTGGAAAAACTAAGTTGGAAGATCAGATACCCTGCTAGTTTGGTGTTGTGTTAGTGGATAGAACCACAAACAGCACAACTTATAAAACTGACAGAGGACCAGATTGCATAAAAAACTTTTTTGACTGGATTCGCTTACAGGCAAAAAATTTATCACATGCAAAACAGAAACAAAAGCAGCTTGACATTTCCAAGACAGAAAGAGATATTCTGTACTCATCAACAAGCCAATGCGTTATTTGTCATAAAGATCTTTTGAACGACAAAGTTGTGCATCATGATCACGCAACAGGAAAAATTTTTGGGTTGGCTCATAATAAGTGCAACCTGAAGTTGAGAGTTCAAGCATTCACGCCTGTATTTTTTCACAACCTCAGCAAATATGATTCGCACCATTTAATCGGAAATCTTACTTTGGCTGGAGGAGAAAAGATCACTGTTGTTCCCTGCACAGATGAAAATTACATCTCCTTTAGCTTGCATGTACCCGTTGACGTTGGCAGTTACGTGGATAAAAAAGGAGTGGAAAAAAACAAAGTTCGAAGAAATGAGGTTCTTAGACAGTTTTCGGTTTCTTCCTGAGAGTCTGGAAAACCTTTCAAAATCTTTGAGGTCTGACAATCAAATAATTTTAGAGACATTTTTTCCTCGAGAAAACGAAAAACATCTTCTCATGCGAAAAGGAATTTATCCCTATTCTTATATGGATTCATACACAAAATTTGCGGAAAAAGTCTACCTCGCTTTGGAACGGATTGGACAAATGTTTTGTCGGGGCGAGTTGATGTAACAAAATCAGACTTTGAATTTGCAAATCAAGTTTGGAAAACTTTCAAATGCCAGAACATAGGAGACTATCATGATTTATATCTCAAAAGCGATGTTTTACTGCTTGCAGACGTGTTCGAGACTTTCAGAAACATTTTTAAAGAGAATTATGATTTAGATCCATGCCACTATTATTCAGCTCCAAACGTTTCATGGGATGCTATGCTAAAGACGACTGGAGTTGAATTGGAACTTCTCAATGATATCGACATGTTACTTTTTATTGAAAAATCATTACGTGGAGGCCTTAATGGAATTGGCGAAAAACGGTACATAAAAGCCAACAATCACTATCTATCTGATTTTGACGAAAAAAAAAACCCTCAACATACGGCATGTTCTTAGATGTCGTCAACCTTTATGGTGAAACTATGATGAAGAAAATGCCTGTAGGAGGTTTTAAATAGATAGAAACAAAATTGCAGGACATTTTAGATGCAACCGATGACTCTGTTTTAGATGCAACTATTGGAGACTTTGTTCAGCAAAACAGAATAGGTATGCTATTACTCAATGCTTAAGTTTTTGGTTGAACAAGGGTTGATCATAACCAAATTGCATAAAGTTCTTCGGTTCCACCAATCAGATTTTCTAAAAGCTTACATCGACATGAACACCAGATTGAGACAGGAAATAGGATTATCCGAATTCAAAAAAAAACTTTTTCAAGCTACTGGTTAACTCCTGCTTTGGAAAGACAATGGAGAATTTAAGACGGCGGCAAAAACTGATCATGGTAACAAAAGAGCATCAAGCCTACTTCTACTGTAATAAGCTTAACTTTAACAAGTTCAAAATTTTCAAGGACGATATGGTGGCAGTATCAATTTTAAAAAAAATTATCTTTTGGAATAAACCAACCTATTTGGGATTGGCAATTCTGGATGTTTCAAAACTCCAACTCTACAAGTTTCATTTTAAAAAGATTGTCCCATTCTACGGCAGAAGAGCACGAGTGCTTTACAAGGATACAGATTCCCTTTTCTACGAAATAGAAACTAAGGACGTGTATAATGATCTATTCTACTTTAAAGATGATATGGATATCAGTGCTTATCCACAAAATCATTTTTTGTTTAGCAATGCAAACAAAAAAGTTCCACTTAAATTGACAGATGAATTGAAAGGAAATGTTATTACAGAGGCCGTCTTTTTAAAACCGAAAGCCTACTGAATTCATTTTGTAGAAGAAAGTAGAATGAAAACCAAGTGTAGCGCAAAAGGAGTGAGCAAAGCAATTAAACACACTTTACATCATGAAAAGTTTAAATCCGTTCTGTTGAAAAAGAACTGCTATCAGGGAACCTATGAACACAATTACCAGTCATAATCATTACTTATCTATTGATCAAGTTAACAAAATTGTGTTGTCTCCATTTGATAACAAGCGTTTCTACAAGACTGACGGTATATCGTCCTTAGCCTACGGGCATTTCAGAACTGGTCAACTAAAAAAAACAGTGACTGAAGATGAAAAGCTAAAAATGTTCGAGGAAGATTCTGAAAGATTTACAAATATTTAAGCTCAAACTATTCACGCCACATGAATAGAGACAGACCATTAGCTATTCGGCTCCTTACGGCGAATAAATGTTGGACCTTGTTAGATGCTTTTTTTGCTTATGATCTGAACTTTGTTATGGTTTAAAAATATAAAATTTGTGTTAGCTGACAAGAGAAGAACGGACATCCAGCGCTCCTGGATTGAGAACGACGTGCTTATCATCTGTGCTACTATCGCATTCGGAATGGGCATTGACAAGCCTGACGTGCGCTTTGTCTTCCACTACAGTATGCCCAAGTCTCTCGAAGGCTACTATCAAGAAAGTGGACGGGCGGGAAGAGATGGCCAAAGAAGTGTGTGTTGTTTGTACTATAGTTCGGCTGATTACACCAGGCTGTGTAATCTGCTCAATTCGGATAATTCTGGTAAGTGCAAGAGAACTTTATGTTTCCAGTATAGCTGGGAACTGATAGTTGAATATACCTGAGCTTTTTGAGTTATAAATTTCAGTGAATAAGGGCTGCAAATTTATGAACGGTTGAAAAAATCAGTGTGCAAAAATCAGATAAAAAGCGTTCCGATTAAATCTTAAAGAGACGCAAATTTGATTAACATATTGAAACTTCTGAGCTTTCTGTATAAGGCAGGCAGCTTTGTTCCTTAGCTACGATTTTTTCTGTTCTAATGTGGCGGAATGTTGTTCTAGGAAATTATGGTAATGTAATTTTACTTCTTTTTTGTTAACAACAATCTTGAGTTCTCTGTTTACACAATCTAGAGGTAGGGAAAGCGAACATAGCTCGAATTTCTTTTCGATTGTCGACCGTCTCTTAAGAACATTGGTGGGGTGAGAATGTTCCAAATGGAACAAACATGGCGGTCGTGACTTCACTGCTGTGCGCATTTTCTGTTCAAAAAGAATTGAATGTCCCGTGTAATACTGCTTCCTTCTGTATATGGCAATTTTTTGTGGCAAGCGCCTATAAAGTTTAAAGAAGTTTACTATCAGTTTCGGCCTGGTTTAACTAAATGGTGTCGCACTGATGTTTTTATAGGCGACACTCATGCGCGTCTTCTTTGATATCATAATTAGCTATAAAACATGTCAAGATAAGATATTGTAAGCTCATTTCAGCATCCTCACTATGAAGTTCGCTCACATGATAAAAAAGTAGCTGTTTGTTTTGGTTGCTGATTGACTGATGGATTTTTTTTTTATTCACAGGCAGCTACCAGACGCGACAACTACACATCGAGAATGCCAAAATAGTGACACAATATGCCGAGAACTACGTTCAATGTAGGAGGTAAAAAATCTGAAGTTATGATTTATGAAGAACTTGAATTTTGATTTCGCTGATTAAGAGTAATAAACATAGTAAATAGTATTATATAGGTCTTGGTGATTTTACGAAAAAATCTTAAAATTTGCTCACGTCAAATTTTGATTTTTCGTCCTTTTGACTTTTGATTCCTTTCTAATTTCACTTCGCTTCCTTTAGAAAAAGGAAGGCAAACTACCCTATCGAACAGCAAAAATGTAAAGATCACGAAAAACGTGATCGACTTCTAATTTTGAAAATGGATTTTAATTATCAGATTTCCGAGTGAAATAAAATTTTAACCTATTGATCCAGTTTTCTCAAACTGGGTTAATTTTATCAAAAAAAAACACAAATAACAAGTTGTTCGTTAAATTCAAAGAGCCTCAGGGGCATGTATTTTTTAATTTAAAATTCAAAAGTTTAAGTTAATTCAAAAAACCAAGTCCGTTTTTTCTGTTTCCGCACATTCATTACTCTTTTAACTGTCAGTTGGCTATGCTGTTTGGATATTAAGTATAAACACAGAGGTAAAGCTGAGTGTTTCACAACTTGCGATACAACGCAAGCACAGGACTGCAAGCTAGCGATTAGAAAATGAGGCGAAAACCACGAATTAGAGAAAAAAGGAATTGAAAGAAAATTATAGTCGAGAAAGCAACCAGCAGCATTAAGTAAGCATTCAGTTGACAATTTTTGGGTAGACTCCGTTGAGCTGAAATTAAAATTGCCAAAACAATTGCTTATGCATAACATGAGTTTTGATTTGGCTGATGTTGCGATAATAAATATAAACACAGGGGCAAAGCGGAGTCTTGCAGCACTTGCGATACAACGCAACTACAGCATAGCAAGCTGGCGAATAGAAAACGAGGCTGAAACCAATGATCTAGCAAATAAAATATTTGAAAGAAAATTATTGTCGAGAACGCAATCAGCAGCATTAAGCATTCAGTCGACAATATTTGGGTAGAATCCGTTGAGCCGAAAACAAAATTGCCAAAGAATTTGTTGTCTTTGCACTAGCAGAGCGTAGTGTGATGCTTTTTTCTGACCTTTCTAACCTACTTTTTTCTAACCTAAGTAATAAATTGAAATGTAATAAACCAAAAGCAACCGAACTAACTTTGCTTGTAACAAATTGGACCGTCTAAAGCCAAATTGTGTATGAAATATGCATGTCAAAAATTTCGCGAAATATATTGATTCGGAAAGTTTCTGAGAAAAAAGTTTTTTTATTGTACAGCTGTAAGAAACAAATAGATTTCTTCGGTTCATTTGACGAATTGAAAAAGCCTCAACTGTGTTAACTTATTTATAAGCAGTTGTCAACGCACATGCTTTTGAATAGCCAATACAGCTAGCTTCCTGTCTTAAAACAACCACTTTAAAACAGGAGGCCGTATTGGCTATTCAATAGTATGTGCGTTGTAATTTGAGTGAGAAATTAACAGTTTCTGCTTTTTTTGGTTAAATGAACCAAAGAAAGCTATCTGTTTCGTACATCAGTACAATAATAAAAATTCCCTCTCAGAATATTTTTTCAAATCAGTATTTTTCTGAAGTGCGTAATTTATACACAATTCGACCTCATACTGCAAATTTCATGAACGCAAAGGTAATGAGGTCACGTTTATGAGTAATTACATGCAAAAATTGTCTTTTTATGCCGCTTTCTATAGGCGTCAGTGACCCAGTTGCGTAGGTCATTCAACTGGGAATCTTGATTGTCCGAGGAATGAGGTTCAATTCTCGTTGAGGGGGTTTCTTTTTCGAAACTCACTAGTTTTATAATTTTTTTAAGCATTTTTACAACTACTTGACATTTTATCGCTTGTGTTTGCGGCTGCGCTTAAGAACTATCAAGTATATCATTTGGAACTATCATATCTAAACACTTAAGACGCCTTCCTATTTGACATCCCACCCCTCAAATTTTAACAGCATCACATTTCATTTCTGCTCTTCCAATGAAATAGTAAATGATTAAGACAACAAATAAGTAAATTTCAAGCATATTCAAACTTCTACAAATTATAGAGCAACTTTTAATTAAATTATAGTTTGTTATCAAAAATTCCAGGCTTTGGAACTGAACCCGACAAAAAAATAAGTGGGCAATTGATAATTCAAATTTCCCCAGAAAAAAGTTTCATTTCATGCATAGAAAAAAATAAGGTCTAGGAGCAAACAAGCGTTTTTGGAATTTAAAATTAAGCAAGCTCCACTATTACACAGCAAAAGCATAAAGGTCGCGAAAAAAACGTAATCGACAACTAAATTTCGTGGATTTTGGTTTTCATTTTTCCCAAGGAATAAAAACTTTACCATTGGTCCAGTTTCTCAAATTGATTAAATTTTTTTTCTAAGAAGGACTATCTTGTTTTTTTTTGTAAAGTTCTAAACGCTTTAAAGCTATATATTTTAAACTTAGGAGTGCGGAATTTGAAGTTATATTTTAAAAAAAACGAGTCAGTTTTTTTCTGTTTCCTAGCGTTCTCTAAATTGACTTTTTTCGGTTTCTTTGCGTTCTTTGACTCGTTCATTGCGTTCATGTTTTTACCCTTGCGGTAAGCAAGGGTTTTGCAGTCTGTTATTGTACTTTTTTACCCCTAATTAACTTTGTTCACAGAATGGTCAATATATTATTATTAGGAATGGTAAATATCTGACATGTTGAATTCTTTGAAAAACTACGATCATTTAAGTAATAATTTGATAAAGCCCGTTTCAGGTTGTATTTATTTTAAAATGTTTTTTTTTCACCTGGTTCGGTTTTTATTGACTTACTTTCTAAAGCATGGTTTCTGTTCCTATTTAAACAGGTTTTATTATAAATGAATGTTCAATAATTTTCAAATTTACTAAGACTTAAAGTTCAAAGCGCTTTACTTTTCTTGAAGCCATATAGTTTTAACTTTGGAATTCGAAATTTAAAGTTTTTAAAATGAGTCAGTTTTTTCTGTTTCTTAGCGTTCATTGACTCCTTATCTGTTTCCATGCATTTAGTGCCTCATCGTTCATTGCGATCATATTTCTATCCCTGCCATAAGCAAGGGTATTGTAATTTGGTGGTAGACTTTTTCCCCGTAAATAACTGTGTTCACAGAATGATCAATTTAGTAGGAATGGTAAGTATCGTTTGTGACATGCTCAATTCTTTGTAAATTTCAAAGAAAACTGCATTCTTTCAAGTAGTAATTAGGTAAAGCGCGTTTCAGGTTGTAATTATTTTTATTAGGAATGGTAAATATCTGACATGTTGAATTCTTTTAAAAAATTTTAAAAAACTACGATCATTTAGGTAATAATTTGGTAAAGCCCGTTTCAGGTTGTATTTATTCTAAAACGGTTTTTTTTTCACCTGGTTCAGTTTTTTCACGAGTCAGTTTTTTTCTGTTTCCTAGCGTTCTCTAAATTGACTTTTTTCGGTTTCTTTGCGTTCTTTGACTCGTTCATTGCGTTCATGTTTTAACCCTTGCGATAAGCAAGGGTTTTGCAGTCTGTTATTGTACTTTTTTACCCCTAAATAACTTTGTTCACAGAATGGTCAATATATTATTAATAGGAATGGTAAATATCTGACATGTTGAATTCTTTGAAAAATTTTTAAAAAACTACGATCATTTAAGTAATAATTTGGTTAAGACCGTTTCAGGTTGTATTTATTTTAAAATGGTTTTTTTTTCACCTGGTTCGGTTTTTATTGACTTACTTTCTAAAGCATGGTTTCTGTTCCTATTTAAACAGGTTTTATTATAAATGAATGTTCAATAATTTTCAAATTTACTAAGACTTAAAGTTCAAAGCGCTTTACTTTTCTTGAAGCCATATAGTTTTAACTTTGGAATTCGAAATTTAAAGTTTTTAAAATGAGTCAGTTTTTTCTGTTTCTTAGCGTTCATTGACTCCTTATCTGTTTCCATGCATTTAGTGCCTCATCGTTCATTGCGATCATATTTCTATCCCTGCCATAAGCAAGGGTATTGTAATTTGGTGGTAGACTTTTTCCCCGTAAATAACTGTGTTCACAGAAGGATCAATTTAGTAGGAATGGTAAGTATCGTTTGTGACATGCTCAATTCTTTGTAAATTTCAAAGAAAACTGCATTCTTTCAAGTAGTAATTTGGTAAAGCCCGTTTCAGGTTGTATTTATTTTAAAACTGTTTTTTTTTCACCTGGTTCAGTTTTTTCACGAGTCAGTTTTTTTTCTGTTTCCTAGCGTTCTCTTAATTGACTTTTTTCGGTTTCTTTGCGTTCTTTGACTCGTTCATTGCGTTCATGTTTTTACCCTTGCGATAAGCAAGGGTTTTGCAGTCTGTTATTGTACTTTTTTACCCCTAAATAACTTTGTTCACAGAATGGTCAATATATTATTATTAGGAATGGTAAATATCTGACATGTTGAATTCTTTGGAAATTTTTTAAAAAACTACGATCATGTAAGTAATAATTTGGTAAAGCCCGTTTCAGGTTGTATTTATTTTAAAATGGTTTTTTTTTCACCTGGTTCGGTTTTTATTGACTTACTTTCTAAAGCATGGTTTTTGTTCCTATTTAAACAGGTTTTATTATAAATGAATGTTCAATAATTTTCAAATTTATTAAGACTTAAAGTTCAAAGCGCTTTACTTTTCTTGAAGCCATATAGTTTTAACTTTGGAATTCGAAATTTAAAGTTTTTAAAATGAGTCAGTTTTTTCTGTTTCTTGGCGTTCATTGACTCCTTATCTGTTTCCATGCATTTAGTGCCTCATCGTTCATTGCGATCATATTTCTATCCCTGCCATAAGCAAGGGTATTGTAATTTGGTGGTAGACTTTTTCCCCGTAAATAACTGTGTTCACAGAATGATCAATTTAGTAGGAATGGTAAGTATCGTTTGTGACATGCTCAATTCTTTGTAAATTTCAAAGAAAACTGCATTCTTTCAAGTAGTAATTAGGTAAAGCGCGTTTCAGGTTGTAATTATTTTTTCAAAAAAAAATTGATTTTTGTTCGTGTTTGTTGTTCTAGTTTCTGTCGGTCATTTTCCGTTTTCTTTTTGAATCGCTCTTTTTCATCTGATTTTGTTTTTATGGGCTTACTTTCTAAAGCATGGTTTTTGATCCAATTGAAATAGTTTCTTACTATAACTGAAACTTCACAAATTTTTAAATTTACCAAGTCTGATCTCGGGTATTTTTTTTTTCATTTTTTAAAAATTATTTAAACAGTTTCAGATTATGGTATCTCGGCTTAGTCAATTTATATTGCGTTATTTTGAGGCCAATTGTAACTGCATGGGATTACGTATTTCGGATTGGATGGGTCGTAAAAACTTTTACAACATAAGAATTTTTTTCATGACAACAGTTTTGTTTTCGACTCGACCGCTTTTGACCCAAAACTTGTTTCCGTCCGGTAAATGATTTTCATTTCTTTTGAAGGTTGTTTATGAACTTCATGCTATACAACCATTAAGTTTTTGTTGCTATTTTTTGTCAACTTGTCAAGTAATTTTTTCAACCTAATTTTTCAGAAATTTTTTTGACTATTTTTTTTCCATTCACTATCGTGTACCGCAATGTGCTTTTTTTGCATCGCAATAGTTGCCGAACTCCACTTTGCTTCTGTGGACAATGTTCGGATTAATGTTTTATTGCACTAGCGAAAGCTTAGTGTACTAATACGAATCTGCTTTTTTAACCTAACTCGCAAACAAAAGTGTTCACCTATTTGGAAATTTCACTGTTGTATTGGAAATTGCATAGCATCTGTTATCCGCTTCATGTATGGCTAGTGTTAAGTAGCTTTTAAGCTTTCGTGGCTGTGTGGTTAGTGTGTGGCTCATAATCTCTAGGTCTCAAATCCAAATCTCAGATGTAGCCGAATTTTTGCTAATTCGAGCCTCATTTCTACTTTTTATTATTGCACGTTACAGAGATGCTTTTTGTAGTGTTTTCGAAGTGAAGCTTTGCCTCTGTGTAAATCCTTTCTACTAAGTTTTTTTGATCTACAATGGTTTTATATTCGCTTTTTTTATTTGCGAAATTTTGTTTTAACCAACAAGTTTTGTTAGCCCATTGTTTTTCGCCTAAAATGCTAGTTTTGCAGATTAAAGTTAATTTCTAAATTCCGTTTCTGTTAGAGACGCCTAATTTGCTTACTTCAAATTTCCTGTCCGCGAGAAAACTCTAATTCCCGATTACAAGTCAATTGGTCTAGCAACTGAAATGACTACAATGGAGTTGAAGCAACGCAATCATAACATATTTTGAAAATTCGTTTGTTACAGGTATTTGCAGTTAGTGTATTTTGGCGAGAACCAGTTTGACAGGAGCTTCTGTGGAAAGAGGCCAGAGTACAGCTGTGACAACTGCAAGCAGAAGGCTAACTACCACATGGTCGACGTCACTAACGAGGCAAAGGTTAATCGTTCATTTTCCTGCAAAACTGTTTTCAGTCGTGACTTGTAGAGCATCTGAAATTGGATATTAAACATACTAAATTTGTGTGATTAAAAATCATGAACATAGTGAATATTCTTATATATTTTTCAACTCTCATATTTTGGTCTTGGTTTTTCTTCGAGTACCTTGGTATTTTATTCAAATACTTCGAAACTCTTATTACACCCGCGAGCGTAGAGTAAATAATACGACTATTTTTTTTCAACCTAAGTCGCAAATTTTGGTGCCAATTTTGGGGCTTCTTTGCGGTTTTGGAAGCATGTGCTTTGACATTCGATAAGTAATAAGATAACACGTTTCATGCATTTTTGATTCATCACAAGAACCGAAAGCTGTTAGTTTCAAACAGCCGTGCAATAGTAAAAATTCCATTTCAGAAAAATTCCTACTCAATATATCTGGCAGTTTTTATTCATATGTCTGGCAAAATGCATAATTTATTCATAATTTGGCTTCATGATTTCCTATTTTTTTAATGTTAAGTTAGTATGACGCCTTTAGTTTAGTATATTCCAAGTTATTACATGCAAAATTTGTGTCTATATCTGGCGCTTTTGCTGCATAACATTGACATCTTTTTAGCATATGTAGCTGCATTATTTATGGCTAGTATTAGTAAATTGTCAAGGGCCTGTGGTGGAGATGCGAGGACTGGGGATTCTTGGTTTTTCAGAAAAAAAAGTCCTAAAACTTTTTCCCACTAAATTTTGATTTCCTTATTTGAATGGAAGGCATATAAATAGCGCAAAAAATTTGATCGACTTCTGGTTTCGAAAGTGGAATTTGATTTTCAGATTTCCCAGCGAAAATAAACTTTTTTCTTATTGATCCAGTTTTCTCAAATTGGATTAATTTTATCAAAAAAGGTCAATCATAAGTTGTTCTAGAAATTCAAAGAGCTTTAAGCGCATATATTTCTTTGAAAATTGGAAGTTGGTGGTTTTTTTCTAAGACAAGCCAGTATTTTTTTTCGTTCCTAGACTTTTTTCCATCTGTTTGTCGGCTATGCCTTCCAACTGTCTGTTGGCTATGTTTTTTGTTAGTTACACTTGTAGAATACTCGTTGACGCAGGTGATATTGTGATTCTTGTTTATATTTCTATCAAGTTAGTTTTCGAAATTTCAAAGTATTTAGTTTTCAATATAGTTCTGATCGTTCATAAATATTGAGTTTGTGTCTATAAACATTAGAAATGGCGTTTTCTAACAGATTGTAATGATCAAATTGATTAGTTTTGAAATCGGTTCTGTGTTAGGATATCGTGCGCAGTATAAAAGAAGTGGATGGCAAAGGTGGCAGACAGTTCCCCTTGAAACATTGGATAGACGTGTACAGGGGGTCAGCCAACAAGACTGTCAAAGGGGCCAATCACCATATGTTGGCAATGTACGGCAAGGGAAAGACTCAGAGCAAGGAGGAGGTAAATTGTCACGATTTGTCTTAGAAAATAAAAGTTTTACCTATTTAGCTGGTCGGTAAACAGTCATAACACAAGCAATGCTTGTGTTATAGTATGAACCATCTTTTTTTTCCAACCTAAGTCGCAAATATTGTTGCGGCGCAAATATTGTTGCGATAAAATGTGTTCATTTTGAAAGTGTTCATTCATTTTGATCAAGAACCAGCTATTAAGTACAGCCAATGCTTAGGATTTTAACACAGACTATTATTGTTCCGACTTTCGTAGCGAAAGTAACGGAATAATTCTGCCCGTGGTGGTTTTCTTCTTCAGACAAATTTCGGCTTCTTTCTTAAAAATCCATTTTTGACGGGATTTTTTTAACATTCAAAAAGTATTGTTGTCCTGAGCTTAAATTTGGAAAAATATTTCACCTGTGATCATTTTTCGTTAAGTTATGGGGTTTCAAAAATTGCTAATTTGAGACAATTAACGCGCGATATAATTCGTGCTATTAGCGCGTAAGCGTAGATTTAATCCGTCTTATAAATCGTTCCAAATTGGTTGAACGAAGCTTATTTGCCATAATTGATTTGTTACTAGGAGAGTACTTTATTGCTTTCTACTTAATAAGGCGTGTGGGGTGATGATTTTCACAAAAAATCTCAAATTAAAAAAAAATTCATTTTATTTTCATTACATTTGTTTTTTTTTTCATGTTATTACTGCTCGATAGACTGCTCTATAAATTGAGGCATGTTAGTTGGTAAATTTCTTTTTTTTTTCAAATTGACTGGTACTGCTAATGCGGTATAATTGGCTTTCGTCACTTAAGAAATTGGAAGACTCAAAGTTTTATTCAGTTTTTCTCAGTAGCGTTATCGGTCATATTTTTGCTTGCGTATGCGAAGTGCAGCTTCGTCTCTGTGTAAATAAAACGCGAGATGATTCTGTGTCTCATTCCCAAACCATTTTTTTATGGAGCTTAAAATTGCACGGAAATATAATCTGATATCATGTATGTCTTTTTAATTAGGTCTTGCAGATTTTTTTAGGAAAAATTCTTAATTTATTCACGCTTAATTTTGATTTTTCGCCGTTTGACTTGTAACTTTTTTGAGTTCAGTGCATTTCCATTGTTAAAAGGAAGGCGAACTCCACTATCGAACAGCAAAAATGTGAAAGTCACGAAAAACGTGATCGACATCTGATTTCGAAAATGGAAATTAGTTATCAGATTTCCCAGTGAAATAAAAGTTTTACCTATTGATCCAGTTTTCTCAAATTGGGTTAATTTTACCAAAAAATGTCCATCATAAATTATTATACAAATTTAAAGAGCTTTAAGGTCATCTATTTTTTTCTTCTAAATTCAAAAGTTGAAGATTTTTGAAAAAAAAAGCAATTCAGTTTTTGTTTCAGTTTCCTTGCGTTCATTACTCTTTTCAGACTGTCAGTTGGCTATGTTTTCAAACATTTACCAAATTTTCAGCGGGAAAATTTTGAAAGTGATATGGTCGAGCTCATACTTTATTGTCTAATATGATTTCTGGGGTGAACAGTTAGTTGATACCAGTTTCAATGTCTAGGTGGAGCGACTGATGAAGAGGATGATTGAAGTGGGTGTATTGGGACAGGACTCCAAAGTTTGCACTGTTGGAGGAGGCTTTACGGTACGCACTTTTAAACATGAATATCTGGGTCTTCCTTAACTTCGTAAGCCTGTCGCTTAAGCACCGATAACAAAATCATCGTTAAAATTTCAAAGATCATAAAAATATGCCTTGCTTCTTAATAAATTCTAATCTAGGCGCTTCCTTGTACTTCTCGCTATTTACTCGGCGTTATGTTGCTAAGCGAAAAAAAATTGGTGCGATTTGATTTATAAATATTTAAATTGGTTATTTTTTAAATACTGGGCATTTTCTTAATCGAAATATTGTATTTATTCCAAAACAGTTTGCAGTGGTAAAGATTTCTTGTTCTTTTCGCTTGATATCTTAGGCTGGTTATTGATCAATCAATATTTTTTCAGGTGACATCAAATACTCTGAGGCCAGGTAGAAATGGTCATGCTTTGCTGAACAATAGCTTCAAAGTAGAACTGCACAAGAAGATAACTAAAGCGCCGATATCCATAGAATCGAACCTGAAAAATTACCCTGCAGGCGAGAAGAAAGACGAGCAGTCGGTCCGAGAGAATATTGCTATTCTGTGCAGAGATGCGCTGTATCAATTTGCGCGCAAGTATGCGATCGAAAAACACATCAAGAACCACAGCAATGTGCTCAACTCCGAACAAGTCAAATGTAAGCTTTCTAGTTTATCGAAGAATGAATTAAGCTCAAAATTATCACATTTCAATTGTTTTAGCCCTAAAAATTTAATGAAAGCTTTGATACCTGAGATGGCTTTAAAACTCATTTGATTATTGACCTTAGGAACTATGATATTTTCTGTGTTTCACGGAGGCTCCATTTTTTTAAAATCTATTTTAATAAACGTCATTCCAGGGCTGAGTGAGCATCTGCCGGCGTCTGCGGAGGAGTTGTCACAGTGTGACGGGATGACGGAGAGGAAGATATTGGCTTATGGCAACATGATTCTGGATATCACTCGCAAGTTTGGCTGGGATCTCATGGAACAGACTGGTGATGTCTCGGACCCAGGCGAACAGGAACCAGATGCGCCGTGGGTAAGGCGTTATTTTAAAATTTGTCTTAAAATTTCTGTGATAATGATGTATTCAGCTAGACTTTAAAATAGAAAATGAAAGATGAGTTTTTCTTTGTACGAAAAATTTGGATAAAATTTGTATCTAAATCTTTTCTGTATTACGCGAATTTGAGCTATATCAAATTTTTTAATCTGTCAAAGACAAAAGGGGGGTAGAGTGTATTTTTCAGAATGAAACAAATTCAGTTTTATTTGATGATGTTCGAAAGTATTTTATGCTTAGGATCAAGACGATGAAGACCCGTATGGACGTAATGATGCCTCCATGGTAGAAGAATCAAATTATTTCCCTCCTTCGGGTGGCTCGGGATCATCTAGAGGGGGCTGGCGAGGGAAACGAGGAAGATCACGGGGAAGTTACCGCGGGAGACGACCTACCAGGGCTTCGCCACGCGGGGTGAAAAGAAGGTCAACTTCACGAAGTGTGTCTAGTCGGAGTCCAATGGCCAAAAAACCGACTGGTCGAACGGTACCAAAAATTGGTGGCTCATCTCTGGTGTCAAAAGGCCATTCGTGGTTGGGATCAACTTCAAGTTCAACCATGTCTTACAGAGCTGGTACAGCTGGAATTTCAAGTGCAGTGTTATCTCAAGGAGCTCTGAAAAGTAGCAAGGGGAAATTGTTCTAAGTGGCGAAAAAAATGTCAGTGCTAAAACTCAGTTGATTGACATTTTAGATGCATTTTTTGTTTCGAATTGACCTGCTTGAATGTGTTGTTTCTGTCTAATCATTTGCAATTTAGTTTTTAGTTGAAATCTTTTTTTCATAGCTAAGCATCAAATTGAAAGTACTTCTGGGGAAAATTATAGGCAAGATAATTCTTGGGTAGTAAATAAATGTAAACTAGTAAACGAAGTGAGGATACTGATTCAAGTTTTTTTTTGAAGATTAAGTTTTGATCACTCTCAAATTGATTTTTCGCGGTTCGAATTTTGATTTCTTTTGCTGAAAAAATTAAGCTCTCCCTCCAACTACGAATGTGCAAATGGCGCGAAAAACTCTTGAATGACTTGAAGACTTCAAATCGAAATAAAAAACTACCTATTGATCCAGTTTTCTAAATTTTCTCAAAAGAATTCTCAAGGTCAGTTAAATGAAGAATGAGCCAATCATGTAAGGTTCTTCCAACTCTAAAAGCTTAAATTGATTTTTTTTTCGATTATTTTTCAGTTCCCTTGAGTTCACTGTGTTAATGTTTGGCTATGTTTTAGTTTAAGGTCATTTGAAAATTGTTCACGGTCATGGGCTCATTAAAAACCACTTAAAACCAAAAAGTTGAACTTTGTCCAGATTTTGATACTTTGTTTATTTTTGCATCATCAGCGAAAGTGTTTTGAGAATCACCTTACATAATTCTAAACTGTTAAGTGATCAAGGTATTGTTTAAGGAACATTTAGAGAGTAAATTTCGATCAAAGAGGAAGGACATGGAAATTTCGACCTTGGTGGCAGAATTTAAATCGAGTGGAGTTAAACTAGTTCGAAGATTTAAAGGCTTGAAAGCGCTAAGGTTCATTCGAATGTTTTAGTCATTGTTACTTGTTTTATCATATACTGTGGTTCGATTATAAACACGCATTGCCCGGCTTTCAGAATTATTTCGAAAGTTTCTTAGAAGCTTATACAGCCAGGAGCGGACAGGCAACTGCAACACAACCAAGCGAAAGAAAGACATTTATTGTTGTTTCAAGGAGAACTGTTAGCGTTCCGAAACACAGGTAACAATGAACTAAATTAAAACAACAAAAAATTTTGGGGATTTTTCTTCGAATGTGGATCTACTGTTTTGCTATGTTAACAGTTGTCAGAAAATTGTAAAATATTTCACAGCTCGTCTACTGTTGTTTTGTTTCATTTGTGTTGCTTTCAGGTGAAATAAGTTTCTATCGGGATAAGTTTGTGTTATCATACGAGCAAACTTTTTAAAAACCTAAGTCGCACATTTTCACAATCGATGGTAGCATGTCATTGTTCTGCTCAAAATCTTTTAAATAGAATTCAATACTGCTTCTCAAATACAATAATTGAATAAAACACGATGGACGATCCTTAGGTTAGTGGAGTAGGTACGTAGCTCGCATTCTTCCTGGTTCGAAGCCACTAGTCTGCTAAATATTTTTTACTTTTCGTAGCATCTTCAACTACGTATTGATATTTACACTAGTCAGTATTTTTTTCCAACTAAGTTGCAAGTATTGGTTTTTTGATAGCATGTGCTTTGACATTCGATTAGGAATAAGTTAACACAATTGATGCAATTGTAATTCATCAAATGAACCGAAAAAAAGCTATTTGTTTCAATCAACGGTACAATAATAAAGACTCGATTTCAGAATATTTCCAAGTCAACATATGAACAAATTTCGAAAACAGTATAATTTATACAAAGTTCAGCTTAATGCTTTCCAATTTATTGCATGGAAAATGTAGATGCCTTCAGTTTGCTCTATTCCAAAGTATTACAAGCAAAATTGTCACTATTCGTTTTGGTGTCACTTTTGCAACATCAGATTAACAATTGATTATCATTATCAGCTGCTCTATTTGAGGCTAGAGGTAGTAAATTGTCAAGGGCCCGCGGCGCAGATGCAAAGACAAGGTACTCTAAGCCTCCTGGTCGTAGGATTGAATTGTTTTTTTTGTCGTTTTCTCGCAGGTGTTAGCCAAGCTCAGCTTCACCTCGATGTTTTTTGATGTTTATCAGCGAGCTAAAAGATTACAAAAAAAGGTGTCAAATATTAAATGACAAAACCGATCTTTCTGACTCTTAGCACATTTTTTTATTTTGAATTCACAATTTGTCTATTCTCATCTATTTTTGGTATCTAAAGTTTGTAACCTCATTCAGTGGCAAAACTCACCTTTTTTTGAGCATGAAAAAAAAACGCGGAAGCAGTTTTCACAATATTTTCCGGCAAATTGTGATGCAAATGTAATATTTCCTAGACTGAAAAGCTATTTAATAATTGACTCTATTTCCTTTCATCATGCAAACATCATTTCATGATCCAACGAGTAACTTGACTAGATTAATTTTTGATGATGGCATATGTTTGTCAATAGCTAATGATTTGACTAGCGTTTTTGCATAAAAATCGGATTATTGGAAGAAAAATTTTACTGGTGTGAAAAAAAGGTTTGTCTTAAATCTTCTGATAGAAAAAATATCTTTATAAACCTAAAGAAGTTTTTTCCCAGCAAATTGATAGGCCAACCTGTATTTGAATATAGAAAAAGCTAAATTCCAATCTATTTTTGTGATATTTTTGCGTTATCGTAAATCTGAGACCCTTCGTGAGTTCTTAAGTGAACTGTTAGCTTTCATCAGTTTTATCGAATCCGGGGTTAGATTTTGATTTCATGTCATGAATTTTAGGCTTGTAATGTACTCTTTGGGATTTTTTGCTATGAAAAAAAAATAAAATAGAGTTAAATTGAAAAAGTTTTTAGTGGGCTAATTTTGAAAATTGGTAAATTATTGTTCCGGTTAATTTTCAAATGCAATCCTCCATCGGCGACTAAAAATTATCTGTTTTTTTTTGCGCAAAATCAAAACCCTTTTTTAAACTATAGATCGATCTGAGTAATATATCATAAGGAACGTTTTTAGTCATTAAGAAAAGTCAGCTATTAGTCAAAAACGGTCATCTCAAAAAAGTACAAAAGGGGACCCTTTGGGTCGAAAGGGGGTCGAATTCCTGAAGAAGGGCGTCCGCCCCCCCCCCCCCGCCTTCCCTCCATAAATCCGCCTATGCTTACTAGGCATTTTTAGATTAAATATTCTTCAGTTAAGCAATGAGTGCTTTATATTCTGTTACAAACGGCCCTTAAATTTGTTCAAATTAGTTGAGTTCTTTTCATTTAATGCTTCCAGAGTTTCTTGACGTTTTCTCTTTTTAAAAAAATCAAAAATCAGGTTTCAAATTTGTACCGAAGATAGTTAGTTTTATGATAACTTGTGGTCAATTTTTTTTTTTTGCTACTAGAAAGATTGATTTTTATCGATTGAAAATTCTGTTCGTGATTTTCGATAGTTTATTGATGATTTTTATTTTTCAGATGATATTTAATAATTTTTTTTTCAAAATAAAGTAAAAATAAGAAAACCCCTTTGGGGATCGAACCCGCAATTTATTGATTTCTAGTCACAAATATATCTTCTAAGCTACAGCTTCTGAAACTACTGCTAAAAGTTGATAACACTTAACGTGGGTCCCCAATTAAAAACTTTATAGTAGCTTTCTCAATAGAGCTCATTTTTAAACCGATTGCCCCTGGAATTTCAGTTTTATTCTATATAAAGATTCTGAAAAAAAACTTCATACAACTTGTATTTCAAAGATTCAGCAATGATTATCTACGAAAGTTCAACCCTAGAATGTAATGACATGGAGTTTCAAAAAGTTTTTTTATCAAAGATATATCAGAAAATTGAAAACAATTATTCTGGTAATTAGTTCTCCTTAAAGTTGAAGAACGAGTAACAATGCTCTAGACATCACTCGCATAATGTTTTTTAAACTTCTCGGTTGTAAGCAATTGACTGCTCTGAATGTTGCACTATTTTTCTAGTTTTTGTTTTTTTTTGCACCGCCGTAATAATGCTTTCCTCAATATTTTTACGCTTGATATTAGCAGGCAAAATCAAGTTTTTTTTATTTGATTAGTTTAGATAACAGAATCAGCGCTCGCTTTTTTCCGTTAAATCAAACTGTTTTTTTATACATTTATGTTTAAGCCTAATTTTTTCCGTGCGCTGCTACAAGTAAAGAAACTTTCCGAAATTTATTTTTTGAACAAGAACCCGACTTCCCCGTTTTTAAGAGAAGTGAAATAAATTGATTGGATTATTGTGGTCTATATAATTGTTACCATGTTGCTCTCAGAAAAGAAAATGACTTTAAAATGATCTTAAATCGATTTTTTTTTCAAAAAAATAATGCATTATTATTCAAGTGGAATCTGCAATAATGGATTAAATAGTAAATAGACAATCAAATAAAATGGATTTTTTCTTTTTCCTTGTTTAGCTTCGTTTTTCAAACGCATAAGAAAATATGAATTGACAATGAAACACTTTCCAGAACAAAAAATGAAAATCATGTATTGCAAAGGATTTAAGAAATGTTCGTCATATTGATCTTGGGCATAAAATTTAAAATGACAAATCGATCACTTTTTTTGACATGGGAATTGAAGTCGCGGGAACAATTGTGAAACATGCGTGGTATGCTCAAAACCGCTAATCCAGAAGTTTCATGGTATAAGTCATTTTTTCAAAGCTGTACGTCATGTCACGTTGACCTCAAGTCGTTCGACACATGATTATTCCAACTATTCCATGGCTTTTGGTCGCTGAAGTCTCATCTATTCAACTGTTCCCCACACAGAACACGCGAAAACAAAATCATTTAAACCAGCGAAAGGGGAAAATAATAAATTAAATGAATCCTAACAGCTCAAAAATTTGCGCAAAATTGCCTTAACATAAAAGTCTAACGACAGAAAGAGACATTAGTGGCGCGACTTAAGACTTGGGCCGCGCGACTTGAGAAAAGTTTTCAGTGGCGCGTCCTAAAAATTTTAGACTTAAGAAAAGACGTTAGCGACGCGATCTAGAAATTTATGCGGCGCGAAATATGATAAAATTAGTGGCGCGACTTCGGAGAAAGTTTTAGCGGCGTGATTTAAGAAAACACTTTAGCAGCGTTATCTAAAAAAACGTTTTAGCGGCTCCACATACAAATTAGATTAGCGGCGCGGCTCCAAATACTTTAGCAGCGCGACTCAAAATTTTGGCTGCGCGACTTGAATACAGATTTTGGTGCAGCGCATTAGAAAGTCTTAGCGGCGCACTTGAGAAAAAGATATTGACGGCGCAACTTAAGAAAAACTCTCGTGACGCGCATCATGAAATAAATTTAGCGGCACGACTTAAGAGACAATTTCAGCAGCGTGACTTCAGAGCGAAGCGATTTGAAAACTTTGGCGGCGCAAGGTAAGATAAAAATTTTTGCAGTACGATTTTTTTTTGCAGTGAGACTTAAAATTTTGGACGCGCGATTTGAGAAAAAAATTACTGGCGCCCCTTAGTAGGTTTTAGTGGCTTCTGATGTTATATACAGAAAATTAGAACAAGGAGAATTACCTGTCACACTAGTTTTAGATTTTGCAAAAGTTTTCGACTCTATTAGCCATAACATCATTTTATACAAGCTTGCCAAAAAGGCTTCAACCCTGACTGTTTCTTCCATTTTTTGCATCTTATCTCACAAACAAAAAACAAATAATTTTTATTCGTAATACATTGTCTCATTCCCGCAATATAACGAGTGGTGGTCCACAGGGATCATTTTTTGCAGTTTTCTTGTTTTCTTAAACTATTAACGATATGTCAGAAATTATTGACAACCCTTCCTTTTAATATGCTGACGATACCAAAATTCTTGAAAGTTGGTTTGACTTTTCTTCGATTCAAACAGATTTAAACAATGTAAACACCTGGGCAGCAGAAAACAGAATTGACTTCAACTTTGACAAGTTTGAACTAATTAGATTTCAAAAAACAAACAAGCGAAGAGCAAATAAGCGATCTTTTAGCTATTGATGGAGAACAATTAATTTTAAAATACACGGCGAAAGACCTTGGTGTTTGGTGCAATTTCAAAATGTCATGGATATACCACATCAGAGAAAGGCTTAAGAAAGCAAACATGCA